ACTACAAATTACCTTACATTTTCTAGAATTTTATATAAATGGAATCATACTCTCATCGTAGTCTTTTTGGGCTTCTATTATTGAGATTCAGCCACACTGAAGCATGTATCAGTGTATTCCTTTTTCTTGCTGAGCGGTGTTCCATTGTATGGCTGTAACAGTTTGTTTAACACATCCACTTGTTGATGGACATTTGAGTTGTTTCTAGTGGTGGGATGGTGCATATAAAGCTGCTATGTACATTTGTGTACAAGTCTTTGTGTGGGCATATGCTTTGATTTCTCTTGGCTAAATATCTAGTAATGGAATGGCTCAATCAGACAGGCTTATATTTAACTTGACTGTGAAACCATCTTACATTCCCTCCAGCAGTGTATTAAAGTTCTAGTTCCTCCACATTGTCACCAACACATCAGTCTTTTTAATTTTAGCCTGTCTAATATTACCCATTCTGTGGTATCTCATTGTGGTTTGAATTTGCATTTCCCTAATGGCTAACAATGTTTAGCATTTTTTTCATGTGCTTATTTGAAGTGTTTCTTCATATCTTTTGCCAGTTTTTGATTGAATTGTGTTTGTTTTGTTATCGCATTTTGATACTTTTAAAATATATTCTGAATACAAGTCCTTTATCATATATATGCTTTGCCCATATTTTCTCCTGGTCTGAGACTTGTTTTTCCATTCTCTTAATAGTGTGTTTCAAAAAGCACAAATTTTGATAAAGTCCCATTTATCAATTATGCTGTTAGTGTCCTATCAAAGAAATCTCTGCCTAACTCAAGGTCACAAAGATTTTCTCCTATGCTTTCTTCTAGTTTTATAGCTTTAGGTTTTTCATTTAGATCTGTGATTCATTTTGCGATTTTCTTTTAATTGAAATATAGTTGACTTAACAATATTATATTAGTTTCAGGTGTACGATGTAGTGATTTATACCTAGAAGTTTGTACCTCGTAATCCCCTCCCCCCATCATGCCCCTCCCTCCGTGATTTATTTTTGAAGAATATCCTAGTGCATATGAAGTGGTATCTCATTGTGGTTTTGATTTGCATTTCCCTATTGGCTTATGATACTGAACATCTTTTCATGTATTTGTAGGCTTAATCTTTAGAGAAATGTCTGTTCATATCTTTTGCTATTGGATTATTTATCTTTTTAATGTTGAATTGTAAGAGTTATTTATGCATTTTTGATGTAGACACCTAACAGATATATGATTTACAAGTATTTTTTTCCATCCTTTTCACTTCCTTGATATCCTTTACAGCACAAAAGTTTTTAATTTTTTTAAACTTTTTAATTTTAATGAAGTCCAGTTTATTTATTTGAAATTATTTATTTATTTAAAGATTTACACTTATGTTTTGTTCTAAGAATTTTATAGTTTTAACTCTTACATTTAGATCTTTGACCCATTTTGAGTAAATTTTTGACTAGGTTGAGGTAAGGATTCAGTTTCATTCTTTTGCTTGTGAGTATCCAGGTGTCCTAGCACCGTTTATTGAAAAGGCTGTTCTTTTCCCACTGATTTACCTTGCCACCAATGTTGAAAATCAGTTGACTTAATGTAAAGGCTTATTTCTGGACTCTAAATTCTATCCCATTAATCTGTATGTCTAGTCTTAATGCTAGTTCCATCGTGTCTTGATTACTGTAGCTTTGAAGTAAGTTTTGAAATGGGAAAGTTGAGTCCTCCAATTTTGCTCTTCTTTCTCAGTACTGTTTTGGCTATTCTGGGTTCCTTGAATTTCTGTGTGAATTTTAGGATAAGCTTATTGATTTATATAAAACTGGGAATCTGAAGAGGATTGTATTGAATCTGTAAATCAATTTGGAAAGTACTGCCATCTTAATAATATCAAGTCTTATAATCAGTGAACGTAGTATCTTTCTATTTATTCAAATCTTTAATTTCTTATAACAGTGTTTTGTAGTGTTCAGAGTACAAGTCTTGTACTTCTTTTGTTAAAATTATTCCTAAGCATTTAATTCTTTTTTGTATAAATCAAATTGTTTTCTTAATTTTATTTTCAGATTGTTCATTGCTGGTATATAGAAATGCAGTTAATTTTTGTGTATTAATTTTATATCCTGCAACCTGACTGTGCTCATATATTACTTATAATAGATTTTTAGTGAATTCCTTGGTGTTTTCTGTATACAAGATCACATCATCTGCAAATAGTTTTACTTATTTTTTTTAACTTGGAGGTCTTTTATTTTCTTACCTTGCCTAATTACCCTAACTAGAGCATCCTCCAGTATAGTGTTTAATAGAAGTGATAAGAGCAGACATCCTTGTCTTATTCCTGGTCTTAGGGGGAGTACATGAAGTCTTTTACCATTAAATATGAAGTTAGTTACGGGTTTTTTGTATATGCCCTTTATCGGGTTGAGGAAGTTCCCTTCTACTCCTAGTTTGTTGAGTGTTTTTTTCAGGAAGTGGTGCTGGATTTCATAAAATGCTTTTTCTGTGTCTATTGATACAGTCATATGGGTTTTGTCCTTTACTAATGTGGTGTATTGCATTGATTTTTGGATGGTAAATTCACCTTGCATTTTGGAGATAAATCTCACGAGGTCGTGGTGTTATGTGTTGATAGATTCAGTGTGCTAATATTTTGTTAAGGATTTTTCTGTCTATATTCATAAAGAATATTGGTCTGAAGTTTTCTTTTGATACCTTTATCTGGTTTTAGTATCAGAATAATACCAGCCTTATAGAATGAGTTGAGAAGTATTCTTTATGTTTTTTGGAGGAGTTTGTGAAAAATTGGTACTAATTCTTTTTTTTAATAAGCAACAAGAATTTATCACTATATAACGCAGGGAACTATGTTCAATATTCTGTAATAATCTATAATGGAAAGTAATATATATATATATATATATATATATATATATATATATATATATATATATAAAAAACTGAATCACTTTGAATCACCTGAAACTAACACAATATTGTAAATCCAACTGTACTTCAATTTAAAAAAAAGGAATAAAAGATGGACATCCAGGCAAATATAGCAAACAATCAAATTAGGCTATGCATTCTTTAAAACCAAGTTTGGACTCTAAACATTTTAACTCTGGTGTCATGAAGCTCACTTGACAAAGCATGTCATTAAGGCGAAGGCAGGGGTCAGCTCAAGTCTAGAGAATTCCACCAAATCCTTCCTGTACCCAGAATCTAAGCCACGGGTCCAGGGAGACCACCTGTGAGGTTACTCCACATTTCATTATTGAAATCCTTTTATGGAATTCAGGGTAGGCATGTCAGGTATAAACTTTTTTGCATATGTGTAACAGGTAGCAGCATTTTTGTAACACAGTGGTTTGTAGCGGCCATTGGCCAGGGCCCGGTGGTTCCATGAACCACTGGAATCGATTCTGGAACCGTGTTGATCCTCAGTTCCTCCTTGGAGGTCAGGGGTTCCGTCTCGTCTGCGCTGGCGGCCAGACACGTGGCCCTCGTGTGCTTGGGCTGCTCCCGAGGCCGCCGCGTGCGGGGCTGGGAGTGGGCCAGGCTGGGTTCGGGACAGGGTCAGAGCCAAACTGGTCTGTTATTAATTCTTGCTAACAGTTGGTTGAATTCACTAGTAAAACCATCTGGTTCTAGACTTTTCTTTGTGGGTAGTGTTTTGATAACTAATTTGGTCTCATTATAGATCTATTCATATTTACTATTTCTCCTTGAGTCAGTAGCAGTAATTTGTGTCTTTATAGGGCCTAGACCATTTACAGTTTAAAGCAATTTAAATAATAACAGAAATTTTGTAATTTTCCATGTAGTTAACGTTTCTGTTTTCTTCATTGCTTTGTGTAGCTCCATATTTCCACCTGGAATCATTTTCCTTCTGCCTAAAGGGCTTGTAGTGCCAGGTCAGATGGTGATGAATTCTTCTGACTTTTTAATATCTAAAAAAAGTAATTGTTCTTGAAAGATACGTAGAGTTTCTGAGTATAGAATTATAGGTAGATGTATTTTTTCCTTTCAGTCCTATAAAGCCATTGCTCCACTCTCTTTATCTCTTGTGTGTGGTGGTTTTCCTTAAGCCACTGTTAAGATTTTCTAATTATCTTAAGATTTGAGCAATTTGATCATCATGAGCCTTGCTTTAGTTTGCTTTGTGGCTCTTGTGTTTGGTATTTGTTGAGCTTCTTGGATCGATATATTGGTAGTTTTCATCAAATTTGGAAAATTTTCAGCCTTATTTCTTTAAATATTTCCACCAGCCTCTTCCCTCCTTGGAGACTCTACTTACTATATATGTTAGGCAGCTTGAAGTTGTCATACAGTTTACCAGGTGCTCTATTTATGTGTTTCATTCTTTTTTGCTTCTATATTTTGAATAATTCTTTTGCTGTGTCTTCAGTTTATGAATATTTTTTCTGAAATATCTAATCTGCTGTCAATCCCTTTCAGTATAGTTTTCATCTCAGACACTGAAGATTTCATCTCCTGTAGTTTAATTTGGAACTTTTTTTTATGTCAGCCATGTCTCTCCTTAGTTTTTTGAACATGAACATCTTTATAAATACAGTTATAATAACTGTTTTAATGTCCTTTTCTGTGAACTTGAGCATCTGTATCATTTCTAGGTCAGTTTCAATCTTTGAGTTTTTTCATTATGGGCTGTATTTTTCTTTTTCTTTGTATGCATGATTGTTTTTGTTTGGATGTCAGGCATTTTGAATTTTATTTTACTGGGTGCTGGATATTTTTATATTCCTATAAGTATTTGTGAGGCTTGTTGTGCAGTTACATGAAAACAGTTTGATCCTTTCAAGGTCTTGCTTTTAAGATTTGTTGGCAGGACCAGACCCATGTTTAGTCTAGAGCTAATTATTTCCTACTACTGAGGCAAGACCTTTTTGAGTGCTCTACCCAATGCCCCATGAATTTTGAGGTTTTCCAGTCTGTCTGGTGGGAGCATTCACTGTTCTTGGCTCTGTTTGAATGCTGGGTTCTGTGTCTTCTAATTTTTTGTGTGCTTCTTTCCTTAGCTTCAGTTAGTTACTTCCTATACCTGCAGTGATCAGTGCCCTACTGCACACCCAAAGGGTGTCATCTTCAGATCTCTGGAGTTCTCCCCTGCTGCAACTCTCTCTCAGGTACTATATCCTTTGAATCTAGCTGCTTTGGTCTCCTCAGACTGTCAGTTCCATCTTAGCAACTCAGGGTGCTGGCTGGACTCTGCTTAGGAGTGGACTCCCTGTGCTATGTCCTGGAAACTAAGGCAGTAAGCTTTGCAATCAGTTGTTTTCTTGTTTCTCCAGGGGTCACTGTACGTTATTACCTAATGTTCAGTATCTTGAAAATCATTGCTTCATATATATTGGGTTTTTTTTAATTAATTGTGTTTGTTTTTAGTTGTTTCAAGTGTCAGAGTAAATCTGGTCCATGTTATTCTATCTTGATTATAAGAGGCTTTAGTCTGTTTTAAAGAGTAAGAATTGATGGCTCCTAAGGTTTCTTTCAACTCTGAGATCTTTGATTTTGTTTTATATATCTTTGACAGCTCAATTTCCCATCTCGACAGTGTCCCATTCTCTCCTCAGAACACTTTACTGTCTGCTGTTGGTGCTTGAAAGGTTGCTTGGGATTAACTCTGGGTTATGAGTGAACCTTGTTTATCATACAGACACACTACAGAGAATGATGGCAATCAAGGTGTAACAGCAGAAAATGGGTGTTTTCTCTAATACTGTTCTTAGCATAATCAGAGCTGTCATAATCTAGTCTTCCAGGATGTGGCTAAAGAGTTCCCTTCAGGAACTAGGCAAATAAAACTTTAATTGGAGTCGTATTTTTAACAACCAACCACAGAGCTGTGTTGCTAACATTTGTATTCTAAAGTAATTACAGCAACTTTTCTTTCAGTAGATAATATTCAACTGTAAGATAAGCATGTAAGATATCTGAAACCTATATTTTGCTTAAAGGAGGGAGAAAGAAACCTTGGCTTTAATGCTACCACTTAGTAGTTATGTAACATAATTAACCTTACTTAAATCGTTTCATTTCTGAGCCTGTTTTCCCTATCCAAAATGAAGATAATAGCAACACTATTCTGAAAAGATGGCAAGGGAAATGTATAAAAATACTTCCTAAAGCAGTATCAAGATTTTTGTATCACAACCCACTTATAAATACACTTTATGTAGATATCTCATGCCTATACATATATGTATGTGTGTGTGTGTGTGTGTGTATATGTATATATGTATATATATATTTGCAACCAAAAACTACTATATGTGATATACACCAGTATTTCCTGTTCTAGTTCATTGAAAAATAAACCTTTGGTAGTGACCCATTAATGGGTGATTTCTCACAGTTTAAAATATATTATCTATATAAAGAAAGAGAAACTGTGAGGTATCATATTAATAAAAGGTTGAAATACTTAAATTATATACTGTTAGTTCTATTATTAAGTTTGAATATAGTATAGTTAAATATGTATAACTTTATTATCAACAATTATATAAGATTATATATCCACATTTTTAGCTCTAGTCTTTTCCCTGATAAACAGGCTTAGTAGTAACTTACAAATAGTTAAAAGAGATACCTCTGAGTTTTAACTTTTAAACAATGAAATTTAAGTGGTTTCTTATGCTAAGAATTACAGTTTTGAGGCATGTTAAAGTCCTGGAACTAATACTAGCTTTGCATCCTTGTTTTTTGCTTAGTTTTCTTAATACTGAGTTTTTTCCTTTTTTTCTGTGTCACTTAAATAAGATTTACAATCAGTAAAACAGATGCCACCATAGTAAAACTTACTTGTGGTGAGTTAAATTTTTAAGAATACTTAGTTATCTTTTGGTTAACTAAAGAAATAAATGGGAAAGGGTAGTTAAGTCCATAGTTTGTGGCCCACTAGCCATAAGAAGTTTGAATCTGTCCTGCATTTTGCACAGATATGTGCCACAGAAAACACACATTGCAGCATTTTTCACAGAAGGCATCCAGGCTTTCCTAATGACCAAGAAGCTGGCTAGGACTGATGTTCCCACGTGACCTTCCTCCAATAGGTTCTGCTGCACTGGTAGAAACCAGCTCTGTTAAAAGCCTACTGTAGTATCGCATATTCTTCTTGACAAGCACTTCATTAGAACAGAAGTCCTCTCTGCAGGGGAGGCCTTCCCTGTGCCTGTCTTCTAGATCTAACCTCTATTTCTAGAAGGGAATTTTTAGTTTAGAAAGAAACAAGGAAGACCTCACACAACTTGGTTGTGGTATGAAGGATAGCATCTAATTTTATAAATTTATAAACAGTTCTTAAATTTTTTCCCTGCAGATAAACATTTTCATTTTTTTTTCTTTATATAGACTCCAGACCTTTCCAGACTTATAGGAAATCTGTTGCTGTGTAATACGGTGGAAAGAATTATGTGATCTAATGCTCAAATAATCTCCTGGAGGACTTTGGATATAAAAATGTTTCTTAATGTGTTTTCCAGATGTCTGTGACCTTTTGAAATTGCTTTTCCCCCCACTTAATTTTAAGGCTGTTAGAGTGACTGAGTTGAGCTATAGAAATTAATGAAGTAGAATGCTTGAATTGGATAAACTGGAAGACAATATCTCTCTAGAAAGCCATTATGAATATAACAAAAACAGTTTATAGTTCTCCCCAAATGGTCATATGCTGTAGATGTGAAATGGCAAGTTAATAAAAATATTTTGTTAATAAAGAGTTATATGTGATGTAATTTTCAAATAGTTAGAGACCAATAGAATCTACATAATACAAACTATGCTAAACATAATCTTAATGGTTCATTGATTCATTCAGGTTATGGATGTATAGACATTCTGGTTGAAAGTATTACATGCGAAATTTTAGTGTTTTGTAAGGTATTTTTCTTAATACTTTCTCCCAGGTTTTATTGACTATTCTAAATTAGTGCCTCTCATGGTGCTCTACCTGCAGTAGTCATATAGCCAAGTTTATCGAAGCTATCAACAATTTGATATGCTTAAGGAAACAAAATTCTGATTGATTCTGATCTGTTTCTTTCAGAAAAATCACCACCCATGTAATGGAATTTTACCTGATGTGTAGGTCAGATTTCTTTATTCTGGATATCATGCTAACAGTACAGGAAAAATGCATTGTTTCTCATTTCTGCAAGTAGTCTTCACTGCTGAAGGAAGAAATTTTTTAAGCTACAGCCGAATTCATTTTGGTACTTTTTATGGAAATCCTGATTTTGTTTTTACTTTTTTATAACCTTTTGCTAAAGGAATGAACAAGCAAAGAGCTTATCTCATTAGACAAGTCTATAATAATAAGAATGCCTAGAAGAGGATTGATTCTTCAGACCCGGACCCACTGGCTACTGTTTGGTCTTGCTTTACTCTGCAGTTTGGTGTTATTTTTATATCTTCTGGAATGTGCCCCCCAGACTGATGGAAATGCATCTCTTCCTGGTGTCATTGGGGAAAATTATGGTAAAGAATATTATCAAGCCCTCCTACAGGAACAAGAAGAACATTATCAAACCAGAGCAACCAGTCTGAAACGCCAAATTGCCCAATTAAAACAAGAATTACAAGAAATGAGCGAGAAGATGAGATCATTGCAGGAGAGAAGGAATGTAGGGGCTAATGGCATAGGCTATCAAGGAAACAAAGAGCAAGCACCTAGTGATCTTTTAGAGTTCCTTCATTCCCAAATTGACAAAGCTGAAGTCAGCATAGGAGCCAGACTACCTAGTGAGTATGGAGTCATTCCCTTTGAAAGTTTTACCTTAATGAAAGTATTCCAGTTGGAAATGGGTCTCACTCGCCATCCTGAGGAAAAGCCAGTTAGAAAAGATAAGCGAGATGAATTGGTAGAAGTTATTGAAGCCGGCTTGGAGGTCATTAATAATCCTGATGAAGATGATGAACAGGAAGATGAGGATGGTCCCCTTGGAGAGAAACTGATATTTAATGAAAATGACTTCATAGAAGGTAATGTGACAAATGTGTTGATCCATAGTTATGTTAGTATGATAGAATCCTATTATTGTATGCTGGCGGTATGTCAGTCATTACCCACAGTATTAAAGCATTTAAATTTTTAACCACTAAATTCCAACAAGAATTTGAAGTGACTTTTTAGAAAAAATTATAATGTGACCGTAATAAAATAGAAAATAAGGAGCAGGGAAATAGAAAAAAATCTAAGCTCATGTAGCAGAATACCCCCCAAGCTGAAGGGCTCTTCAGGTTGTGTGTGTATTTGCATATATATGTATTTGCATTCATTTCTTAACTGGTCTTGATGTTCCTTTTTTACATATTTTTAAATATATGAACTGAGACTCAAGATTTGAAAACCATTTGCTGAAGGAAAGAAAATATTCTAATTTAGCTGATTAGTGGTTATTCTATATTTTAGGGGGAGGAGAAACACGTGTCAGAACATCAGGCATACATAGTTCTGAAAAGCATATTTGGCATTTGTAAAAGTAAAGAAATAAACCTGATTTTCTATTACAGACTGCAGAAAGGGCATGGGATTTTTATATCAGTATGGGACATGACTCAAAAGTTGAGGAACACTTGTAATTTAAGATATTTGTTCATTGATATAAACAGGAATAATTATAGATCTCAACCCATCTCCCTCTTAATACTCCCTGCTAGATATTTAATTGCAGACTTAAAACCATTTTGTATACAAATACTTCTTAAAAGTTGTCTTTGCTTCATTCTATAAACAGTATACCACAAGTAGGCTTTTTTGATCCCAAATCATCATGGGTATCACTTGCTTGAGGCTTTTGGAGGCCATCAGGAGGACATTGAGCTTTTCTGTGGCATTTCAGCTATCTTCTGTCTATAGCCATCTCTTTCTGCTGCTGTCACTTCCTGCAATTTTTGATGGGTTGTTTCTTTCAGAACTCTTCTAATTTTTCTGCATGCTCAGCTTTTTGTCTTCTCACTCTGTATGTTTGTAACTTACGGCAGAATTGAAAGCTACAGAGGAAATAAAATAACTAACTAAGATGTATAAAATGTTTTCATGTCCACCTAAAAAGAAAGGAACCTATGCCAGTTTTATTTCTACAGCTTTGCTTTTCTTATAACTCTCCTTGGATTCTGTCACTTACAGGATTTTTCTCTGCATGAAACATATTTTGTCCCTCACTTTTTCTCCATGGTGCCTCTTCCTTCACCAAAAAAAAATAATTACTGACAATGACTGAGTAACTCCTGTTCCTCTTCCAGACTTTAGCTTAGATGTCACTTCTTCTGGGAAGGCATCTCCAACCTGCAAGTCTAAGATAGCAGTGCCTCCTATGTGCTCTTGTGACCTCTACCCTATGTCCTCTCTCAAAGCACTTTTGTGCTCTTGTGACCTCTACCCTGTGTCCTCTCTCAAAGCACTTTTCATAGTATATGGCATTGCCCATCTCCTATTAGACTGTCAGTCTCAGGAGGAGTGGGACTTGTTCACTGATTTATTCCCAGATGTTGACTGACTCACACTTCTGTAAGTCTAACCTCTCTCTTCAGTGTTGCCCAGGAGACTTCCATACTTTTTTCCTAAAGGCATCTCAAATCACCATGTTTAAATTTATGCTAACTTTTCTTTGTCTGACTTTGCTCTGTTCAGAATGTGTATGTTTGCATGTGTATATCACTGTAATATTTCTTTATTTTTCTATCACCCTCACTCAACTGACCCTTCCTCAGAACTGGGACATGTATCGCTCTTTATACCATCAGTGCCTGGCACAAATGCAGTCAATTCATTTTTGTTAAGCTGAACCGACTAATAGACAATGTGACTCTCAGGTCTAGAATTTAGTATTGCTATAAGTAATTTCTTTATTTTCATCATTTGGTTTTGTATTGATAGGCTCTGCTATTTAAAAAGTCATATGTAAAAAGGAATCATTGTCATTTTTTTTTAATTGGGAGGAGAGGTAATTATGTTTACTTATTTATTTTATTTTTAGAGGAGGTACTGGGGATTGAACCCAGGACTTTGTGTATGCCAAGGTACATAGAGTGACTGCACTCTGCCACTTGAGCTATACCCTCCCCAAGGAATCACTGTCATTTGGAGCGTATTTTATGGATTGAATACTCTAGCAGAGTGGTGAACGCTTTTTTAACCTCTCCTTTTAAAGAAATAGTTGTTACCGACTGTACAGTGGGGATAAATATTTTTACAAATAAATAAAACTCCTATAAGTTTGGTTTTGCATTCTTGATATGTGGGTGAAATCAGTAGCCAGATTGAATTTGTAAACTTTGACATGGAGACATCTTTGTTCCTAACTCTTTCCTTTAGGTTATTACCGTACTGAGAGAGATAAGGGCACACAGTATGAGCTCTTTTTTAAGAAAGCAGACCTTATGGAATATAGACACGTGACCCTCTTCCGCCCTTTTGGGCCTCTCATGAAAGTGAAGAGCGAGATGATTGACATTACTAGGTCAATTATTAATATCATCGTGCCACTTGCTGAAAGGACTGAAGCGTTCGCGCAGTTTATGCAGAACTTCAGGTAACTCTCAGGGCTTAGTGATTTGGCTAAGCGCTCCTTAAAAAAAAGCGTATTTCTTGCCGTTTTATTTAATTTACCTTCACTGAGTATGATGACTTAGAATTACAGAGTAATTCTGTAGGCTCAGGGGAACTTTATGTTTTGATGTTCCCTTTTTTCTTATAGTATGTGTACTATACTGTATTATTGACAGTTTGAACTATGAAGTAAACTGAGGGTGACAATTATTAGAAACTAAATTTGATGACCTTTATAATTGTGTTTGAATTCATTTTAGGACAAGTTGAATTTTTAAAAGTAGCTTTATTGAGGAATAACTTACAAACAATTAAATCCACATATTCTAAATATAGAGGTTTCATGACTTGATGAATGTGTACATTCATGTAACTGTCTCCTCAATCAAGATATAGAACATTGTTATCTCTCCAGAAAATTCCACTGAGAACAATTTGAATTTTAAAATTGAAAGAAATTTTGGAAATACAAATATTCAAGTGAAAGATGGGAGAACATTATTCCATCTTGGGAAGCAGAGATTATAACATTTTTTAAATATTTTTTTCTTTTTTTGATCATTAAATTTGGATTTTTTAAATGCTGAAGTGTTAAAAAAATTAACAGCTTCATATTAGGTAACTACTTGAAAGTTTTACTTTTTGTTTTACTCTAACAGTTGTCATGTTTTTAATACTTTAATATGCTTATTTTTTTAATAACTTCGTAATTCCAGTCTTTGTTCTCATTGAAGTTGTTGAATGTAAAAGTTAGGCACACAATTCTGTTGCAGAATTTCTTAGAATATCTAAAAGTCATGCTTCCAAATGAGTTTCATCTTTTTGAAATTGCTCACTTGAAATCTGACTTCCTAAAACATTTTTTAATTGCCTGTCTTGGAATTACCTTCAGATGCTACATTATTCTTTATAGTTAATAATCTCAGTCATGGCAAATATTTATTCCTTGACAATAGGTATAATTTCTGGAATTAGGCAGTCTGAAGACAAAATACCTTTTGACTCAAAACTTGAATTATTTATTTATTTATTTGCTTTTGGACTGATTGAACTTATTTCCTTGAGCAGCTTGTAACTTGCTTCTGAAGGCAATGCCAAAGCAAAAGCTCCAAAGATGTTTTGAAATATGGCGACTTCTTGTGCTGCTTACATGCCCCTTCAAGTGTTGCATTCATTTAGACATAAATGTTGTCATGTGCTTGCTGTGACGCCTTTAATAATTCAGCAATATTGCCAGTTTTATTTTCACTTAAAGCTCCATGTGATTTCATCCTAAGTAAGAAATGCTTCGTTCATTTTCTTGTTAAAGCTTCATGTGATTGCTTTCTGAATGAGTAGTGCCTTATGTATTTTCCTGAATGAACTCTTTTTCAATTCTGTTAGGGATGTATGTATTCATCAGGACAAGAGAATTCATCTCACAGTGGTGTATTTTGGTAAAGAAGGACTATCTGAAGTCAAGTCTATCCTCGAATCTGTCGCAAGGTTGGTGAGGCATGTTTGCATTGAAGTCCTTGATATATAACTTTAGAAGAATGAGAATTTCAGATATTTAATGAGTATTTCAGATATTTAATGAGTCAATAATTTTGAATGGCTGCTTTCGGCTGAGCATGTGAGTGGTGGTGGTAGCAAGTTCCTCATTTCACCCCTGAGTTCACTCATGCAACTCTAGATGACTCATCTTCCCTTAGCTTCTTAGCAGACAGCCTAGCTGATCTGGGTGCTCTCACTCTGTGGCCCACTCACCTTCTGTATATTTGCCTCCATTTATTCTTCATTTCCTTCCGTTGAACTCTTTCCCTTTTTCTAAATCTAACCTCTTCACTTTGATTTCATCTCCTGAGCTTGTCTCTTACTTGCCACCCTTCTTTCCTTTCATTTTCCTAAGTTCCTTCTCACCCTGCAAGTGATGCTTATTTAGGACTCCCCTATCCTTCAGAGACCTCTGCCTGACTCTACGGTTCCCAGTAGCTACTCTTAGGTTTCTGTCCTTTCACAGCTAAACCTCACAGAATGGTAGTTCTCTAACCAAGCAACTTATAGTACCTGGCACATAGTAGGTGCTCAGAGGTTTGAATGAATGAATTAGTAATTCCTTAATACTCCATTATTAATCCTGTAGCTTCTCAACCTTTTTGTCTCTAAGTTATGGGCCCAAAGTTATGACCTAACTGCCGCAAGCAGGCTTTTCTCTGTCATCCTCCTTGATTACTTGTTTACATTTGATAACTAACCAGTACTCCCTTCTTGAAACTTTCCTCTGATGTTTGTAAAATGTAAATATTTTGTAAATGTAGATATGTTATAATGTAAGATATTAGGTTGATTGTCTTTTCTGACCACATCAACTCTGTATCCTTTACTTGCTTCTCTACCTTTCTGCTAGTTGTGGCTATTCCCTAAGAGTCCAGATTTGGCCGGCCATTCTTCTCGAATCGTTCAACTAACATTCATTGAGTCCCACCGACTATGTTCCAGGTACACTGCTCGGGAGTCTGACTGGGGTGGCTGGGATAGGACTGGGCCCAGAGGAAGGAGTTGCAGTTCCTACCCCAAAGGGACTCTCACAGCATTGGAGTATAAAAAACAGACACTGTCTTCTCCTCCCCTTTCATCAGCTCCCCCTCCTGATGGCCCCCTTTCAGTTCAGACTAAGACCATTCTCACGATCCCCTGGGCTTGATGTCTGAGAGCCAGAGTCTTCACTCATTCTTTACCTCTTATTTGTCAGCTCCTGCTCACTGCACAGGACCTCTGCTCTGTCCTTTCCTTGCTGCAGCCACCACTCTAACCCAGGTTCCCCCTCCCTCCATTTCTCCCCTTATCTCTTCCCTCCTTACCATTTTCAGATCACCTACTAAGTGCTTATGGCTCACGTTGTTATTATAAAGTTGTCCCTGCATTAATCCAGATTCCTCTGTAGCAAATGATGGAAACTTACCTTGAGCTTGCTTGAGGAAAATGGGAGCATTATTGAAGAATCTTGACTAACTCCTGAAATTAAAGGGATTATTATAACCAAATTTAATGAAGAAAACCAAAACAGCTTTGGTATCTTAGAAGCTGGGACCAGAGACTCAAATACCATCAGAATCTCTTGTTGTCTTCTTACCTGTTTTTCTCTGCATGTTGACTTCATTCTCCTGTTGCAGAGTGGCTTCTTCCACATGTGAGGTATATGGCTGTTGGCAGCTCTGGGCTCACATCGTCTCAGCTTTGCCATCAGAGAGAAAAGAGCTTTCTCCCAGGTCCAGTTGAGCAAATCCCAGAGAAGGACTTTTGCCCACTCTTGAGCCAGTCACCATGGCCAGATGGGGTGGGGGTATTGTGATTGGCCCAGCTTGAGTCTAGTCCCGGTCCCTAGGAAATTACTGTGGTTGGGCTATTCTATGATTAGTTCCTCCACTTGGTGCCGGGAGTGTGAGGTGGTGATCAGAAGTTTCCCCCAAAGAAGGGAGAGATTTATAACCTATAAAAGGGGAGCCCCTGGAGTCCACTCCATGCACTATTTGAGTCTTTGTTTCCATCTCTCCATTCCCCATTCTATACTATTGTAAGAGTAATCTTTTTTAAATGCTGTTTTTTTGATCCAGCTATCCCCTAGTACAGTGGTTCTCCAACTTTATCATCAGAGTCACCTGGAGTGACTTGTCCCAGGAGAGAGACAGATGCTCAGCTCCTCCCCTAGTATCTGATGCAGGGGACTGGGGTGGGGCCTGAGAATTTGTATTTCTAACACATTCCCAGGGGAATCTGATGCTGTGGATGCAAGGACTTGTCTGTGAGAACCACTGCCCTGGTGGAAAAACCCTGACTCCTCCTTGCCTTTAGAACACTGGCTTTAACTTCTCACAGAAGGTACCCCTCAGTCTGACCCTTTTCTGATCTTCTCTCACTGTTCCCATTTTAGGACCCCTCTATTCCAATCTGATTTGTCTCATCCCTGTTCTTTAAATTGCTTTCTACTTTCTTGCCTCCTTGCCTTTGAGAAGAATTAATTGGAATGACCTTTATACTCACCACTGAATTCAGGATTCTAACCAAGGCATAACTTAAATTCTGCTTCTAGCATCTTCTCTAACTACTCCAGACAAAAGCAATCTTTTCTTTCTCAGAACTGCTGTTCATTCATTCATTCAACAAATATTTATTGAACTCCTACTCTCTGAGGGACACTGTGTCCATAGTAGAGAACAGAACAAAACCTCTGCTCTCATGGAGCTTACATTCTAGTGGGAGACACTCGAACAGACATGTCTGGTGTTACTGAGGAAAACAAAGGTGGGCAAGGGGACAGACGTTAAAGAGAAGGGAGCTTAGGGCTACGTCACATACAGCATGAGGAGATCCCTCTGATAAGGGGACATTTGAGCAAAGATATGACAGACTTGAGAGAAGAGCACCCTTTGTATGTATCATTCATAAGGATTCCATTATTTATTACCAAACATGATGGCTATTTTTCCCTGTGTATATTTCTTATCTTCCCAGTAGGTTTTTAAGATCCTGAAGGGTAGTAGGGTCTCTCAACACTTATTAACCTCACACCACTAGCATGTTGCCTCAAATGTGGGCATTTAGTGAGTATCTGTCCTTGATGATGGTCATACACGTGAAGCTCTTGATTGCCTTTCCCTGTATGAATGTAGAACCAACATAATAAATAACCTGAAGTGTAAAATATGTTTTGTAAGTTGTGTTGAAGGAAGAGAGTCAACTTTAAGTGGAACTTACCATTTGTTATATGTGCTTTCCTTATAGTGAGTCTGATTTTCACAATTACACCTTGGTCTCATTGAATGAAGAATTTAACCGTGGACGAGGACTAAATGTGGGTGCTCGAGCCTGGGACAAGGGAGAGGTATTGATGTTCTTCTGTGATGTTGACATCTATTTCTCAGCCGAATTCCTTAACAGCTGCCGGTTGAATGCTGAGCCAGGTGTGTAAAATGGTGGCGGGTGAGTTGAGCGTAGAATTTAAAACAGTGTCAGCATGTCTCATATTTTGAATCAAGTTAATTATGTTTTTTTGAGTTATATTAGGCATAATTTAACTGGAATTTTAAGTAGAAAAGTGAAAATTTGCCCCCCTGAAGTTCATACCCCTTGTTCTCTTATGGCCAAATGCCAGTGTCTATATTTGAATCTAAATAAACACATGCAAAGAAGTAAAAAGTCATGAAATTGACAAGGAGGAAGCAGCACCCATTAGAAAAAGAGCCAAGCCAACAGTGTGATGTGTGAGAGTCAGCAGCACTGTACCTCAGGCAGATGGCGCCGGCACACGTGCACGCTTACGGGGGTTGAGGATCAGTTGGTGCTTGGTCTCCAGACTGTGCATTTGGGGATGATGACTTATACTTTGTTTTATGTTGTATATAGTTTTCGAAAACATAAGAGCAAATGACATTTTTATCTATCAAATATTACTTTAAATGTGGAAAGGAAGTTTTCTGTATTAAAAAAATCTCACAGTAAATGTTTTTGATAGAGAACTACTCATATCATTCAAATGACTACCTTCTTACAAGTCAATTTATTTAGGGATAGTTGTCAGGAACCCTGTGAGACCTAGTGAGTAAATGTGGGTTAGATTTACTTTTTTTTTTCACACCAGACAGCATGAAGCCCAGAATGTAGAAGCTGAAGGAGATGTATTTGCTTACTATAAGAGAAATATTTTATATATATGTTACATTATTTCTTTAATGTAAAACAGATAGAGTTGCCTCTGGGAAATGAAGCTCCCCTTTCCTAAGTGGATTCTAACAAAGAGTTAAACATTTGCTAGGGCTCTTGTAATAAAAGGCTGCCCATTACTTGCAGGGTCGTTGACAGCTTCTGAGCACTTCATATTACCATGTCTAATTGAGGCCAGTCTCAGCAAAGGGGTCTCTGTTGAGGGGAGGTGGGCTAGTTGACTAGCTTTAAAGGTCCCTTCATTGCTAGCAGTTTGAATGCTCATGACAGAGGCTTTTGGAGGGGGCTCTTACATCGGATATTTTTAACTCTTAATTTTCCTAGGGTTTCCAAATCTTGTTCAGATCAATCTGCAGTTCTATATTTTAATTATTCTCTGTATATCCATGATACAGTATCCTTTGGATTCACTGTTCCTATGATTTATTTTGGAGAGTGGATTTAACAGAAGTTTCTAAGTCTCTTGGTGATTGTCAAAGGTTAACCTTTATCTATTACTGCTAATTCAATGAAATAATGATTAATTAATGGCTCACCTAATGAACAGCTGAGAAAATGCTTTTGTGTATCTCCCCAAGGTCAAAGGGTATAAATGTATCACAAGGGAATAGAGCACTCTTTATAGTCTTTCTTTCTCTGTTCTTTTGCAGGGTTATAGTTTCATAGTCTAACTTATTGATATATTATGAAGTCATCATCGTGTTCATCAACATGAGTTTTCAGTAGCCTGAATAGTGATAAAATACAACATTAATAAAATAAAATTACAATATGTAACAAACACTTTAACAAAGTCTTAGTAGATATTGCAATAAACATCAGTGGTTTATTTTATGACTTCTTTTTGTATGTAAACATATATTTTAATTTGTAGGTAAGAAGGTGTTTTACCCTGTGGTGTTCAGTCTTTACAACCCTGCCATCGTTTATGCCAATCAGGATGTGCCACCGCCTGTCGAGCAGCAGCTGGTAAGACTTGGTTATGAAAGACCTCAAAGATCCTTGCTAGGTTCCTTTATGTTTGTTTCACAACAAAGTAGAAAACAAAGCTTCAGTTAAAAACTGTAATTACTATAAATGCATATCCATAGTCTACCTACCTCCATAAAATGCTTTTATATTGTTTCAGAATTAAATGTCATTGGGTGAGGGCAGAGTTTAGGCCACAGAGAAATACTCATGTTCTAGAATGTGAAAATTATCTATTTCTACCAACTTAATTCTAGTAATACTAAAAATAAATTTTAATTTTAAAATACTTACTAACTAGAAATTAAAACTACTAAATAAATAAGAAGGAATAATATACTACAGGAAATTACTTAGAAAGTCTTGGAATAGGAATGCCATATATCAGAACTTACAGTTATTGACAAAGTTATATAAGTTTCTGGAAAAAATTTAAATAAACTTCTGTGAAGTAATTGAAATTTACAGAAAAGTCGGAAAGATAGTATAGAGAGTCACTGTACTTCACCTATTCCCCTATTGCTTCCCCTGTTGCTAACATCTTATATGACTGTGGTTCATTTGTCAAAATTAAGAAATTAACTTTGGTAAGTTACTGCTTATTACACTATAGTTTTTATTGAGATTTCACCAGTTTTTCTAACGTCCTCTCTCTTCCAGGATCCAGTCTAGGATACTATATTGTATTTAGCCTAATCTTTTATTGTTAATATTAGGAAAAAATGGAAACAAATGAACTAAGAAGATAATTTAACATGTTTAAAAAAAAAAAAGAAAACTAACTCTGAGAAAGAAATAAAGACAAAGGCAGAAATTAATGACCCAAACTAATAGGTTGACAAACATAGGAGCTTATTCTTTATTTGCAGAAAAAAATGTAATCATAAAGTGGGCAGATTTAGGGTAAAAGGAAAACACAACATAGGAAATTAGAATAAGAAAACATTGAGAGAAATCAGTTTCATATAGTAAGTTTAAAAAATTCTAAATAAAAGGAAGGATTTGGGAATTGATAACATATTAGTATGAATTAAGTTTGTATTAGTATTTTATAAAAGCTCATGTTAGTACTTTATGAATAAAAGAGATGGAATCTCTGAAGAGACTAAGAGCAATTTAAAATATTAGAAGAGTTATCAAACAGTTACCCGAAGATACATAGCTATGTTTCACTGGTGAGTTTTTCGAAACATTCAAAGAACAGGTAATATTGGTGCCATATGATCTACTTAATATATTTTATGAGTCCAACATTATCTTCATACCAACCCCTGGCAAAGCATGTATACACACACACACACACACGTACACACACATACACGTACACTTCTACCTTATCTGTAGTCTAGTATTACTTAGGAGCACAGATACAATTGGGGGCAAAATGTCAAACTGAGCATCCACATCTGCCTTATCTAACACCCTCAATGCTTTGTGAGAATGAATTGCTAAAAATAAAAAGGCATGTTAGTATGGGGAATGAGAGAAATTCCATTAGTGGATCTAAATTTTGGGAAATTTCTGTAAGATGACAATAGTTGTCATAAGAGAACAATCTAGAATGTTTCAGGAGAACACTGAAGATGGGGCTGCCTTGCAGCCTCTGGGTTCATTTCAGAAGACAGGGAGTGGTGAAGTATGTATACTTCTCCAGGGGAGGTGCTGAACAGCAGGCATCGCAGATACACAGGCTGGACCCTGGAGCTAGAGAGGCAGAGTAGGGTCCTCGGAATACTGAGTTGTAAGGTGGATAGGGAGCCCCAGACTCCAAACGTGAGCTGCCTTTGGCACATTCTGCCCAAGACCACATTTAGCCCCTCCTCCACTGTTACTGGAGAAGACCCTTGCAATCATAACTAGCAGCCATGGGTTTTTGAACAATGATTTTTGAAACAAAAATGAGTAGCAGCTAACCGAGACTTAGCAAAACATTTGACAGAAACCAACACTATGAAAGAGGTACGAAATCTTAATAAATAGGAAAATTAACACATGAGAATAGGAATACAGATAGAAACAACTTTAAATTAAGTATATCTTTAAGGAAATTGGAGAAAACATTAATTTCATAAAACAATATTTTTTGATAAAAAAGAGGACTTGAAAATTGTGAAAATATAAAACTCAGTAAATGGGCTGAAAGCAGAATGGTCACTGTTGAAACAAATCTGTAAACTAGAAGATGGGCCAACTGGGCACATAAAGACCAAGAGGTAATGTAAGAAAAAGATTGAGACCTGGGAAATCAATCCAGAAGTTCCCAGATTGTTTAGTAGGCGTTCCAGAAGGGGGAGAAGAGACAGGACAGAGCAGGGAGGAAATAGAAGAAAACATCAAAGAACCAAGGAAAGATAAGTCTTCTGGCACTTGAGAGCAGAAGTTAAGGGACAATCCTAATACCTTCCAGAGACGCCAAAAATAGCAAAACCTAGCTTGTCTACAAAGGAATGGTGATCAGGTTGGCATTTGCCTTCTTTGTGATGATACTGGCACTAGAAAACAATAAAGAGATACCTTGAACATTGTGAAGAAAAATAACTTCAGTTCTAGAATCCATATTTGACCTATTTGAGGGCAAAATAGACATTTTGAACATTGAAAGACTCAGAGTTTACTTCTCACAGACCTTTTCTAATTCAGTCGAATCAGAAATGAACACATTGAAGGAGAAAGACCTGAGAATAAAATAGCAATCAACAACAGCAACAAAAACCCAGTAAAACTTGTTTACATAGTTGTTGATGAAACACATAATAAAAGAGAAATGAATAGCAGTTTAGATCTAAAAAGTCAAGGGGTACATACATGGTATACATACGTGTATTACCTAGCTCTGTCCCAAGAGGGTCTAGAAGCAGTGACTTCTTTACAGTAATAAGCACACCCAGCTCCCAGCTCTTAATGCTGAGACAGGAAATAGAGGAGCCTGGAGCATCTTGTAGCTCCAGAAAGTGAGGAAATATTCAAACAACAAAAGGATGTGGGTACGTCAAAGGGACACAAGAGCCTGAAAGAGCTCCCAGTGGCAAATCTGGAACAATTTGAGCAACAAAATAAATAACATAGTACTGGGTTATAACGCCAAGCATAAAATAAATATCCATGAATCCTTACTGATGTAAATAAATTTGTGAGCAAATAAATAGATAAATAATAATAAATGAATGAATAAATCGGTTGATTTATTTATGTATTTGTTTTTTAATGGAGGTATGGAGGATTGAACCAGAATTCTAAATAACTTTTGTAATACTCCCTTTTCCAGAAGGTGGAGATAGGTGACTCACTTCCCAATAAACAAGTATGAAAATAGAAAAACTAAATTTAGCAGAGAAACCTGGCAGACACCACCTTAAACCAAGTAATAAAGGTTAGCATCACCAGTGTTGTCATGTCCTCCCTCATACAATGTAACAAGAAGAGCACTTTAGCCCTGTGGTCTTACTTCCAAAAACCTGTAACCCTACCCTAATGAGGAAAAACTTCAGACAAACCCAAATTGAGGGTCATCCTACAAAATCCTTCACTTCTCAAAACTGTTAAGATCATCAAAAACAAAACTGAGAAACTGTCACAGTTTCTCAGGAGTCTAAGGAGACATAATAAATGAAACGTGGTCCCCTGGACTGGATCCTAGAACAGAAAAAAAGACATTAAAGGAAAAAATGGTGGAAGTCAAATAGAGTCTGGAGTTTAGTTAATAGTAATGTACCAGTGTTGGTTTCTTAACTTTGACAAATGTCCCACAACAATGTTAGATAATAACATTTAGGGGAAGCCGAAAGCTACATGAGAAGCATCTGGAAACTTTTTACTATTTTACAACTTTTCTGTAAACCTGAAAAAATATTTCAAAATAAAAAGTTCATCTGTAAAAACTTCTACTTGAAAAACAAACCCAAAAAAGTGCAAAATGAACTCAACCTGTTAGGGTGAAGAGCTAATAATCTTGTCTGGTTTGGGAGGGTGTGGGCAAAGAATGATTTGAATGCAGATTCATTGTAGATGTTGTATAGAAAAATAAGTTTAAGAACTTCCACTTCAAGTTCTAGTTTCACTTTGTAACCATTGCAAGTTATTTAAGCTTTCTAAGCTTATCTCCTTACTTACAAACACAAGACGAAAGCTTGCTCTCCATAATGTTTAGCTATATTACAAATAAATATGAACTATGCGGGAAAAAACAGGTAAAAGACAGCTGATGATAATTCACAATAAACATATTTAAGTCATTCTTATAAGAATAAATTAAAACAGCAGTGCAATTACTTTTTTTTTGCTATAAAATCACTGTTTTTAAAAGCAGCCATGTGAGTGAGGCTGGTAGGATGGGGGCTCTCCCATCCCACCAGTGGTGTGGGAAGCATGAGCTTTCTGGATCAGGAGTTTTCAAACAGGTTCATCCCTTTAACCCAGTAATTTCCATTCCAGAGAGTCTCTGCCTGAGGTAGTAGTCAGAACTGCAGAGTAGCAATGTGCATAATATTAACAACATTAAAAACAAGCAAAACTAATAATAAAATGATACATTGCATTATAGTATATACCATGGTAAATATGTGTCAAGAGGAAAATGTTCATTAAATGGAACAGGAGTGTGAATGTAGAAGTAAATATAAAGGTTAAATTGGGAAATAGTATATATATGTATTTATATTTGTTTTGATATTTTAATTCTATAATAGCAGATGTTTTGGTACCTTTTTCTGTGTGCAAGGTACTGTTGTTTTTCATACATATTAACTCATTTAATCCTGTAACAACCTCTGAGGCAGGTGCTATTATTCCCCCTATGTTACATATGAGGACCCAGTTGAGTGCCGTCCCCCCACCCCCCTACAAATGCACAGGTGCCGAGATGGGGCCAGGAGCCCTGGCTCTGTAGCTCCACAGTCTCCCTCTTACCTGCTGTGCAGACTGCCTCTGTTACATTTATTCATCAGATAGTGTCCAGTCTATGCCAGCCATTATTCACCACTGGAACACAGCACCTAGAACCA